CTGCCAGGCCGACGACGACGACGAAGACCACCACGTCGACGACGACGACGACGATGACGACGACGACGACGACGACGGCGGCAGCGGCGGCGACCGCGGCGACGACGTCGACAACGACGACGACGACGACGGCGACGACGACGACGACGACGACGGCGGCGGCGGCGGAGGCGGCGACGACGACGACGACGACGGCGACGGCGGCGGCGGCACGACCTCTGTGTTCAATCGTTTCTGGAAGCTCTCGTCGCCGAGGCTACAACTGGCAAGGTGGAGCCCCGGGCCACGGGACCGAGTCTAAGTTGATTTGGGATTCCGTCGACGGCGGCGGCGCGACGTCGGAGGAGAAGGCGAAAATGAAGGCAATCGCGAGGCGGGAGGGGGAGGGACCGGTGCAAGAGGCGAGGATGGAGGAGACGAATCGGGAGGAGGAGAAGAAGGACGACGACGACGACGAGTCCTCCAGCCTCCCGATGTGTCCAGAAGCCCAACACTGATTGACAAACAAATCCTGAATCCTCCTCCGCCCCCCATCCTCAAACGCCTGCTCGCCGCCGTCCTCCAATTCTTACCGCTCCTCGTCTCAATCGACACTCCTAATCCTGTTCCTCGATCCTCCCTCCTCCCTCAAAACCACCCCCTCCTCTTCCTCCAGTCTTTTGCCTGGACATTCGTAATCCCTTGCAAGATGTTCTGATGATATATCATGATCAGTGGGGTCCGCAGATGACATTGTCAAGAAAGGAGAACGCTGTCAATCATACACTAAGGTAACACTGAAAGGAGGAGGCCGGCCCGCCGGCCGACGCACGCGCGCGCGCCGCAGGCTCGCTCCTTTTCCGTTTCCCTGAAGCCAAAGTGCATAGCTGCAGGAGCAGAAAAAGTCAGTCAGCACAGCAGACGGACAGCGCGCGCAAGGAAAGAAAGCAGGCAAGGCGGAAGAAAAATGGCGCGGAAGGGGTGCATTCACTCCCCCCGCGGCGGGATCCGTAGAGCCGCTCCGACCCCCAACCCACCTGGCCTGTGCATATGTACAGACACCAGAGCGAACCCCAAAAAGCATTTTACCGCTCGACGGTGGTTGCCAAGGGGCGGAAGGCCGAAGAAGCCCGACGTTCCCCGCCTGAGCGAATATTTCCAGCTCAGGCCTCAATGCCCATGCACACCTGGTGCACCCGCTCCACGAAGTAGCGCGGACCAGCATCGACTTTGTCGCACTGGCTCCATTGCGCAGCACCACCTTCTCCATAGACCCCTCCATTCACGAGGGTCACCGCAGGGATCGCTGTTACTCCAGCGCCACTGGTTCTGGTCCCTGCAGGAGCTGTCCTCTCTTCTGCTCGAGCTCCAGCCACTTGGCTCACTCTTGCCCTGGCCCTTCTAAGGCGGTCTCGCCTTCGGCGCAGACGGCGGGGCAGGCACCGGCAAGGTGCTTGGCGTCCCAGAGTCGCGCTGGAACTTGTCGCTGTACTCGTCCAGACTGAACCATTGCCACGTTTTGCTATGACCGGTGCCTTGATGATGCCGGGATACGTGTACATAATATCCTCGAATGTCTCCATTCTCGGTCTTGTCTTCGTAGTCGACGGTCGCGTCGTAGACGCCGTCCATGGCCGGCCCGGAGCCGCCGCCATCGCGCGCGAGGCCGCCAACCGGCTCTACAGCCAGTATTTCGGGGAGGGGCCCCTCGGTCCAGAATTCATCTGCCCGCGACTGGATCCTGTCACAATCGACCCAGCCGGCATTGGTGCCTGACGCGGCTGAGCCGGCAGACACAGGACTATAGTGAGCGGCCCGATGAGTTTGCCTTCCATACTGGAACCTCGGTCGCGATGCCGGGCGAGAGCATTGCTGAGTTTGCTGTCCCGGGGCGGCGGCGGCGCTCGGGGCACTGCCTTCAACAACTGGGGCTGCAGCATCTGCTGGCGACTCGGCTGGGGCTGTCTCGGTTGGAAAGTTGGCTGGGCCACTCTCCTCCTTTCTTCTTAAGGTAACTGGTGATCCCTATGGCGCAATCAGCATTGAAGACCCCAAAAAGGCTGTTGGCGAGACAAATCTCGACACTACATTGGGGCTCCGTAGACGTGTGTATAAAGACCATGGCCTCTTGAATGCCTCAGATACTTCATGCGTCGCGCGGTCTGAGATACTCCATTTCCAAGTCCGACTGCAGCTCGGATCCGACCATCCAAAGAATAAGCATCTTGTACGACTTAGGTGGATTGCGGATTACGCTGCACATCATACCCCGGAAACGCAACATTCATTCCCGCGGACATGAAGAAAAATCGGACTTCTCGTACAGCTAACAGAATTCGCCCCCATCTTCCATGGGCGGGGATGCGATCAAACGGTTGGTCCCGGATTATAGCCACAAGTTCGGGTAGTCCCAGCGGCGCGTCATGAATAATGTCGGTGCCCGACGGGCTCGTATTTGGAGCAATCGACAAGTATTCAATAACAAATTGCGTTGCAACTTGGATAACATCTAGCCCCTCGTACGTTGCATTGTTGTAGTTCTGACCACACATGCAACCATGCATAGAAACCAGGTCATTCCAAAATGGCAACGATTCGGAAAAAGCAATGGATGTCGCCGTGCGATATGGCGATTGCATACGCCATCCGACATCGCAGCCTTCTCTTCACCTTCCGAGACTACTTCATCACTGCGGCTTGGCCGATGGTAAAGTCCGGCAACGATGCGAAAATCTATGGACCCTACTTGGTTCGATGCAGATGCTCGGTTCGCTGCGCCCAAATTATCCGTCAACACTCGAACTGATGGAATGACAAATCCTCTTTCCTTCATCTCTCGTTCCCACTGGTCACAGCCCGTCTCCGGTCGAATTTGGTCTGCACTTACATGTTCCCAAACGAAAGCGGCAAGTGCACAGCATCTCATAGGGCGGGCATATTGGTCCAAATCTGGCGTCCGGATCAATGGCCACCATTGGGCAGCCGTGGGGCGAGCATCCCCAAGCTTGTGCTCTAGCCAGTCAGTGAAACTAAGCTTGAGGGGTTCAAGACCCTGAAAGAATGGCTCGCGACGCAATGGCGGCTGTGCCGAGACGCTGTCTGGCCGCCAGGAAGGAACGGCCCCTGGCTGCGAATTCATGAATGTACCACCAGCCGAAGCAGACTTGAAACGCATATGTTCACTATTAAGCCATTTGCGCTGATGCTGCTCTGCCTTGCTCAAAATGTCAAAAGCGTCAGTCGAGCTCTCGCTCATTGCTCTTAACATGTTATAAATCATCTTAAATCGGTTCTCTCCTTTCGGGGTGGCATCAACGCGCGGTTTCAATTCTAGTCTCGACCATGCAGCACCCGATGCATTTTCTCCTGGCGATTGTAAGTAATTCGCTCTGACGTTTTGTACATGACAGGAGTAAGGCAATGCAAACAGCATCCAAAACCAGCCCTCGCGGCATGGTGTTGAGAGCGCAAATGCACCTCCCATCGTCAGTCAACATCCCCTGCATGATGAGGGCGTTTTCTTCTTCGGACAGAGTACGCTGTCCTACATCGACCACTTGTTCATCGGAGAAGACCCACGTTCTGATTGTATCAGACGAGACAGCAACCTCCCACGCAGACCACTCTTGTGAAACTATCAGGGTCCACATCGCCGGTGGCACGGTGTGTCTACCAACTTGTTCAACCACTTGGAAGGGCACAATGCGCGAGATATCATTGAAACGTGCTTGCCCCGTGGTCACAAGAGTTCCATCGCGACAGATTCGATACCTAAGGCGAGTCACTACCCGTCCATTGACGACAACAACAGATTGCCAATTCTCATTTTGTGTCACATCAGTGTCCCAGAAAGACGGGGTGATTGAACGAGGCCAAGAACCCCGGTTGGGTGGTCCACCGCCGGCAGGGGCATTGCCCTCAGCCTGATATACCCTGGCGGGCGGGGCCTCACCGTCCTTCCGCTGGCTGAGCCAATGAGGGACGTGTGCAGCAGATTCCACAGGGAACTCGCGTCTCGTCGGTATCAATCTGAGAAGTCCGTAGTCAGGTGCTCTGCACAATCCACTAAGCTTGTTCGGGAACTTGATGATCCCTTCTCCCAGCGTTGACTCCTGCACGGTTTCTAAGGATGTAGCATGCAGCAGATGCCCATGGCACCGTGCCATCCCAAACTCGCAAGGAGCACGCATGCGCTCGATGCTGTGAGCAAAACAAGAGTGTCCCTGACGCGCACGGAAGAACAATGGCATGGGCTTAGCAGCCTGCTCATCTCTATCGATGGTGATGACTAGGTCCCCGTGTTCCTCATCAACGACTGTGTCGCGTGAGGCGTCTTGGTTCAGAAAGGACCGCCACTGCTCAATTAGATGCGTCTGTTCAAGAGTCGCAATGTCATCGGCCCTGACGCCTAGCACATCAATCTCTCCTGGTGGCAGCGTCGTCAGGCCGTGCACTGCATGAGCAGTAGTGGCGCGTGTTATACCGTCGTTCGTCATCGTCTGGACGAGGTCGCCTACATACACCCACCCGGCCGATGATCGGGCGCACTCGGCGCAATGCCTCGCCATGTACGCCGCGCACTCGCCGATGAATTGCGCTTGGGAGTGCGTTCAATGGCTGCACTTTCTCCAAATTTCCGAGCTTCCCAGCATGGCAGGCTTTCGGCCATGCTTCAACAGCCTTGCCTCCGCTTCCTCGGCTGCGCCAGCAGCGTGCTTCGGCAACACTCGGGGGATGAGGGCATTGTAGGCCTCCAGGGGGATGGAGTCTGGTCTGTCATCCGAATCAAACACTGGTTCGAGAAACCTGAGCGCTCTTCCCATAACTCTCTGCTCAAAAAGCAACGCAACTATTGGGTCATGTACCGCGCGCGCATTCTCCTTGATCGTATACCAGGCACGCCCACGAACAGATGCGATGCGCGGGGGCACTGAGCCAGCCCTGTGGGCTGCAGTGACCTGCATTCTGACTTCATCACTCTTTCCATCACTCTTTCCATCACGAGTGTTCTCCCGCTGTTA